TTTTCAGGAATATGTGAGCACTATGGCGTGGACGTGATTGATGTGGACATGATAATGGCATCGCTCGAGAATGCTTTGGCCACCACGGGAGGATTCTGTGCAGGGCGGTCTTTCGTTGTTGGGCATCAGCGACTTTCAGGTGGGATTTAATTTTGTCGTCTGAAGATAGTCATTTTTGTTGAAATGTTGCCGAGAAAATTCTCATCATTTCAGTGTGAGAATTCCTACGAATTTCTGCGAGGAATTCAAGAAGTCGACTGCAATAGATATATTCTTAGTTTGACGTATTCCTTAGGAATGTTGATGAATACTAGAGTGGATACGTTTATGCTTCCATATTTCCATTTTGAGCAGTCTCAAACCCATATTTTAGTTAGAGTGATTCAGAATCATTAATGTTGATTACTGTTTAACATTGATGTCAACGATTTGGTTGGCATAGTTGTTTTTAAGAGTCAGCATAGAGAAAACTTTAGAATGCTCGTGGGTTATCGCACCTCATAATGATGAGTCTCATCAATCAGATGTCTCAATGAGTTGTTATTGTTATTGTTGGGTTGAAAATTGTCACAATCGAAGAAGAATATTTTGAAATTTTGATCGATTTGATGAAAATATTTGTAATATTTTTAAAGTGTCCTGATAGTACATGAAAACAAAAAGTTGATTGGTAAAAAGAGTAATTAATCAAAACTTTGATAGAATATAACGGATGTCATGTGCTGTCAACGATATACACTATCAATAACATTATCAGTGATAAATTATATGTTGTGAAACTTTTAAAGATGATTTTTGATGTTCACATATAAACAAATTTGTTCAGGGAATGAGATGTTTAAAAGAGATTTATGCTTATTTCGTTAAAACGAGATGAAAATGAGAGTTCTGCTGGAACGGAAGAGGAGTAATTCATGGGAGCTTCGACATGTTGAGAGCTTCCAGAAAGCATTACACTTGACATTATTAGCTGTAGTTTTTATGAAGAAGTGCGCAAACCGTTTCAAATTCTTCTTCATTTTGTATCATATCGTATCATATCAGTATTATAAGGATTCATGATGTAATATCAGTGAAAATCTGGGGAGAATTTCAATGACTTGTTATATTTTACGTTGTTTTTTTTCGTTTTTTTGCCATACTTGAAGTCAAAAATTGATCCGTCAGGGCAATTTGATCAGCGATTTAATGAACGTGTAAAGAGCTGTGAATAGATTAATGAGCAGTGGTCTTTTGGTTCTTTTCGTTCCTGTCTTGTTGAGGAGCAATTCAGAACGAGTTTCTTTCACTCAGATGAAAAAGTTTTAACTTTTTCCATCCATTATGTTCCATATAACAAATTTCAACTATTCGATTTGTTGTAAGTTAATGAAAAGGGCAGTAAAAGTCAATCATAAACAAAAAACTTGTCTGCAACTCATTTATCACAAGGGAGAGATTATCAGCAAACCAGAATTTTCATGTGTTTTATTGAGTTTATGGCCATTGCAATTGTGCGAGAACAATAATTTTATCTTATTTTCTCTACAGTCTTTTGTCAAGCAAACATTATTTTTGCTTATTCATTTTATTGGAACCAATTATACGTCTAGCATTGGTTTTTGTTATCGACCTCGCTAGTCGAAGTTCGAAGTTTTTTCGTTAAGACATAACAATCTATGCTTGAATTGATTAAGGACTAGTAACTGCAAGTGATCAGCGTTATGGGAAGACGAATTATGAGGAATAGAGCAAGAAAAGAATAGGGTGAATGAGGAGTTTTTGAGTTGAACATAATATTTTTTTGAAGTAGGTTGTTGGTGAGAGTATGGGGAAACTCTTGAAGATTGGAAACGAAATGTTTTTTTGCAGGATTGGGCTACTGCTTCTCGGCCTCATTACCTCCACTTCTAGCGACTGCAGCCAGTTGGTTTTTTATTCAATTGCAATTTAGTGTTGTTTTTCGATAACTGATGATTTTCTTGTTGCATCATAGTGTTTGCCAGCAATTTATACTTATAAGTCCATGAAAAGTGCATACTTAACGTATTGCAATCCGATGATAAAAATGAAATTTAAAATTGCAATACAGATTTAATGAAATGTCAAGTATTAGAATGATAACTAAGAATTTGATATTGATGATAATAATAAAGGAACAGCAATAATAAAACATGACAGCAATAATAACAAAATGATAATGATAACAGTGTTGATAAGGATTATAACCGAACGACTTCAACCCATTAGAATTTTTCAGTCTGCTGAAAATTTTGTCTTTCTGTTTTGTTTTTCATCTTCATTTCAGCCTTCAGTTCCTCTAGAATCACGTCATAAAACGTAAACTTTTTCAGGTGAAGGCCTTCGTGTCCTAGGCAAAGAACCAGATCGTTTTGAGCGTCTCCATCGAAATGCTCGTTTCATGCACAACACTCTTAAGAAAGTCTTTGAATCGAGCAGATTTGTGATCAACGGAGATGAGCTCAGTCCTGTTCAGCATATATACTATGACAATGAGGAAGGCCATGGAACAGAGTTGGAATCTGATGAGAAATTGGAAGATTCTGAGAAGAAAGTGGCGAGAGAAGTGGCTGGCAAAAAGCTGGATGAATTGGTTGATAAGGTTATTTTAGTTGATGAATTCAGACTGCTGAAAGGCAAAAATTTATGTTTTGTGGAGAGATCCGCTGAGATGATTTGTTTCGTTTGCATTTCAATGGAAATTTTGCATTGAAGTAAGTGTTTCATTTGTGATCCGATATCCTTTTGTATTTGTAGATGTTCGAGCGTGGTATCACGTTGACTAGAGCTCGTTATTTGAACGCACAGGAGGCATTCCCGATCAGACCGAGGTAATACGGTGTCATTATTATCAGTGTTGATATTGTTATCTATGTCGTTTTTATTGTTATTATTATTATTATTCTCATTACTATTATTGAATTATGTATTATTATTAATTAATTTATTATTGTTATTAATATTGTTATTATTATCTCATGATCATTAGTATTACTATGCTTATGTATCATATGACATGCGCGTTATCGTCATAATCACAGCCAATATGATCACTAAAGATCATTTGATGTAGTTACACTCATATTCTCATTGACGTTCATTGGGTTTTAGCAGTTTGGTAAATTTTTCGTTGATTTAATGTATTGAAACAGTCGAAAATACGAATTGAATGAGGTGATCGAATTTGGTGATTTCAATTTTTGGTGTCATTTTATCATTATTATCAAATGGCGATGAACATCTTCTGCGAAATTTGTCATTAATTTGACAGAAGGAAAGTGCAGAAGAGCAGACTCAAGCACGCATACGCATACACCCAACGGTCCTTTTTAATGAAAACCTCATTTAAACCTGTCACATTGAATAGCGTAGATGGTGATTGATCGACGAATGGAATGAAAAACCTGAAAGTATCAGAACCGAATTGAGTTTTTTGGTTGCTCGATTTTGATTTTAGAACAACTCCAAATTTTTTTGTTGTTGTCATAAATTTCTTAAGTGATCGCGAAATTTCATTCAACGTTCATTTAAAGGGAAAAGTTTATTGCGTTTAATTAATTTGCAAATTGCGTTCTAGGGTTCATCGCACGGAAAATTTTCAAAAATTCCTGAAACATTGAGTAAATTCAATGAGTTTGACGAATTGTGACGTATAAATTTGTCATTTTGCTGTAAAAAGATTAAACTTTTTTTTAGCATTCGGTTAATGTTGCAATCGGAATTGAATGAAGACGAACTGAATCGAATCGTAAAGGCATTCGAAGAGATTTTGCCTACAATCGACTGAAAAGATGACGGAAATTCGCAACCGAAAAGAGGAGAACACTGGAAAGATTTTTGACTTTTTTCTATTTTTCGTTTTACTCAGCTCGTTTCCTTTATGTGTTATGACTGATTCCATCAAGTTTCCGTGTGAATTTCTTTTTTTTTCTGATTCGAATTAAATTTTTGGGTCGAAATAATTATTTCCATTATGTTGATGTCAGTTAGTTCGTTGCTGTTCGTCGAATTGATTTGTCGGTAAGTTTGTGAAACTGGATGAATGGAGGGGATTAATGTGGTTATGATGACACAAGAAATAACAAATATAACATTGATATGCTGGAATTAAATCGAAGAAAAACGGAAATAAAGAGTAAAAACTTGTGCCCATGAAAGAATTCGTCATAATTTGTCTGAAAATTGTCGGATTATAGAGGGAAATTCGCATGAAAGCTTCTTATTTGGAAAAACTTAAGGAATTGACAACCTTATGCAAAGATTAATATGTTCTAAAGATTGTAGAGATGCTTTAGAATTTGTTCGTCTCATATTAGGAACTCTCCAGAAATTTAGAACCACAAATTTGTTTTTATCGACTCTTTGAAAATCCGAATGCCCTAAGTTNTTAGTATTATTGTTATTATTATTCTCTTAATCAGTATTGATGTTTTTGTTGTCAGTATGATTATTGTTGTGAATCTAATCACTTGCTAATCAAGTTATCACTAGTTTTGATTTGTTCTTAATAATTTCTAATCGATCAAGTTTTTATGTAATGATACACATATGCATTTAGTTCAGATGTAAGGGTTAGAGGTGCTTGAGTTGACGCATTCAACTCTCCGATGCGTTTACGTTTGAGAAGGCGAGAAATTTGGAATCGCCTTGTTGAAAGTCAGAAGATATGATGTGTGTATAGAGTTCGTTTACAGTTCCGTTCATTGAATTCACAAAGAAGTTGTTGATTTGCAGAGTTAAGCGAGTGTTCGAATTGTCGTACAATAAATTTGTTGTATCATTTGAATTCGGCTTGTTCGATGATGGTTTGCATAAAGAAGCTGAACAGAAACATGGTGGAAGAATAGGAATAGTTGAGAAGGAAAAACAAGTAAAAATTCGTGAATTTCATGCATAAAACGGAAAAAAATGAAGGTTTGTGGCATATGGAGAAAAAATCACAAAATGAAGACGAAGACGTATGAAAAAATTAACATCAAAGCGATTTTCAACGAAGTATTGATGAAATGAAGTACTCTGTTGATTTGCGGGTTGACGTTATCGAAACTGATCGAAAAGCGTCATCATGGTTTGTTGTTTAATTCGAAAAGACAGAGTCACATATGATCAAAATCAATTAAAAATTGAATCGGAACAGTTAGAACTTTACTTCCGGACACACATAGCAGTCAGTGGTTGTTCCGTTTTGTTTTTGAGAAATTAGACGTTTAAGAGGCAGTACTGGAAACTAGTCGCAGTCCTCTGAAATAATGATGCTCATATAGTTTTGTTTGAGCATCATGGCTATTAGATAGTATCATTGCAATGATATTTATTATTACTACTCTTGCCATCAAAACAACGAAAAACATGTGGAGCTTGATAAAAACTGGATTTTTTTGATGAAACAAATGTATCAAATTTTCTGTAGAGCAGTATGAAGTGAAGATTGAAACTCACAAATTTGATTGAAAAATTCAAAAACATTGGAGGAATTATCATACGTATATGACGAAGACGAGGGATTGTGAACATTTCCGATACCTTGTACGCATTGAATTTAAAAATTTCCCTTACTGTTAGTTTTTGCACAGAATAAAATTTGAAAACCATAAGAATTCCAGAAATCTACAAAATTGGAATGCGCAAATATTTACTTAATGTCAGCAGTTCGCCAAATACGACGTCGTGAATTTAAGAGGGTTTAGCTGTCATAAATCAACGAAAATTATACTATCAGCAGTCATAAATTATGCTGTTCTGAAAATGATGGCAACTGCATACCATATTAACAATGAATGAAAAAGCAATCGCATAAATATTTCAAAAAANAAAAAACACTAAGATTTACAATAATGAACCATAGCAATTATGTTTTTAATCATACCATAAGATTTAGAAATGATCACCAAAAATATCTCCATGTATTGTAGTAGGCATCGGCAGTGTCGATATCATAATGAGATCATGTGCTACAATAATAATACGACATAATAACGTAACAGTAATTCAAGTATCGACGTAACAATACGACTAATAAACTCTGAGGCATTCACAATCACTGCTGACTTTAATCAGCAATGCGATAGTGCTAGCAGTACCCAGCAGGATAGCAATAACAATTTGAACAGTAATATTAAGAGCCGTAATGACCATTCGAAGTTTCAAGTTTTTAATCACCTGTGCTCATTGAAATTTTGTCACACTTCGCAATAAAATCGGTTAGATCATAACATCAACAACACAAGAATGATCCAAACGAGATTGAAAACATCTTACAAAATATTAGACGCATTAGGAACAAAGCCTAGACTTTAATTTATGAACACGACTTGATATCAAACATTCTGCGGAGAACTCATTATTTGGAAATTACAGCAGACATGAGCAATCACACTGCCAGTCTCAATACGTTTTTAAAAATATCAATCCTGTGAATACGATGAGCATCACATTCGAACAAACACAGGCTAGCTCGGAAAAATGATGATTTCTTCAAATCATAGGTTATTTTCTGAAGGTATTTTAGTTGCTGGGCAGCGCTCAATTC